CGAAAGCGTATAAGCCTTTTTTGGGCTCCAACCCTTATAGCCCTCAAGCCTATACACCCCAAACCCCGGGCATTTGAAAACACTCCCTGAGCCATCAAACACGACTGAAGCATGGCAGGCTCGGCTTCTTGCAGTGGTCCTGTGGGAAGTAGTAATTGAAGCATTCGGCGCCGTGTCGCACGGCGCCGCTGAACTTTGTTGCTTCAATTACCTGGTCATCGGCATCTCGGCTTGAATTCGCTGCTTGAGAACTTTGGCTTTGCAGGCCTGCGTTCGACTCCCCGGTCACTAGCACCCCAAACCCTAAAGCCCCAAAGACCCAAAACCTAACAACAACACGTAAAGGACTCTCAGTACCCCAGGCCCTGCTCAAATCCAAGCACGCCCAACGTGACTTGGAGTGCAAGGGTCAGGCAAGCAGGCTTCACGGGATCGCACCGAACACGGCCGTTGCAGACCGGGGGTGTGTGCATATCAAAGAATACGATGGTCATTACACTGCATATATCTTATCTTGCATTTAGTATAGTACATATATATATATACACACATATATGGAAACGTTTACGTATGTAGAAATATATAATATGCAAGTACATATATTATATTTGTATTTATACTTATATTTGTATTTGTAGCTTGACATATATTTATATGCTTTTGCATCCAAATATTATTTGCTGTCAATGGTAGGCATCCAGGGTTTTAGGTTTTACAATTGGGTTCAGAGCAAGGCCCCTGAGCCGAGCTCCGAGAGCTCCCCTCAACCCCAAACTGCACGCCCAACGTGAAACTCTCTGAACGCTAAATAGCTCGAAACACTTTCTCTCTCTCTATACATATACAACCTATAACCCTATACGCCTTACAAACCCCCTAGGCCTTATACTTAAGCCCTGAAAGCCCCGGAGAAATCACCCAGCTTCCGCCGGGAGGCCTCTTTGATGAGCCGGTAGGACGTGGGATCTCCGAACCCGAACTCTGGGATGGATGGGTGGAAGCCTGCCGCCCCAAAGAACTTGCTCCAAAAGGGGTTTTGTGGGTTTGTTATAGTGGTTTAGGGTTTGGTTCTGTGGTTTTGTTGTAGTGGTTTAGGGCTTAGGGTTTGGTTCTGTGGTTTTGTTATGGTGGTTTAGGATTTGGGGTTTGGTTCTGTGGTTTTGATATGATAGTGGCTTAGGGTTTGGGATGGTTGAGAAGAGTCCCCATATTAATAGTGAGCTTTTTTTGAGGGCTTCTGGGTGTGAGTTGGGGTTTGAGGGCTGGCGCGTCGCTGCAAAGGCTGTTTCCAAAATGAAGGGGCCTTCGACCGAAACGCTCCGACCAACAGAAGCAAGTCAACTCGGCAGTCGGAATATGTCATCCCAAGCCTAGCGCAGGCATCAGAAGTTGCAGTCTTTCCTGCCCCAGACCTGCGGCTTTCCACGGCCATGCAAAAAATCCAAGTCATGTAGGAGCCACGATGCCAACTCTGGAAGCTGCCCTAAGTACTAGACACGATACAGCAATACCTATAGGATCCTATAGGGCTCCCACAACTAGGGGGCCGAGCGGCCGCCGCGCCACTTCCCACGCCAGTGCACTCAGACCCTGGCCGTGCATCTGCGAGAGAGCGCTGTGCCGTGCCGGTGCAGAGCCGTGCAAAATGGAATTCGCCGGCCGCGGCCGAAAAGATTCATTTAAATACGTGGTTTCAGCTCGGCGTCTGCGCGTGGCGGCCGGAAGCCGGTGATCCACAAAGCTAAAGCTGCATTTCGGCAACACAATACCAAGACATCAAAGACAACTTTTTTTCAACAGCAGACCGCCTCGGATGCTTCGGCTTCGGCGAGACCCGAAGGCCTGGATTCTGGAGCGGCTCAGCGCTTCCGCCGCCCCAGCTCCTGCTGAAGTTGGGCTGCCAAGTCGTCCTCTCCAAGCTCGGAGGCGGCCCACAAGGACATCCGCAGTGCTGCCGGCTTCATTGCCGAAGTGGCAGAAGGAATCCGAGCCACTAGGTCTGGTACTGTTGCAAGTACTTCTGGAGCTGCTTTCTGCAGGGCCCCAGCCGACCACAAGCTTTGTGACAAGTCCATCCCATTGAAGTTGTCCACCTTGTGCAGTATGCGCTCTGCGATGGCTGGCACAGCTGCCAGCGCCTGCGGTGCGGCATCTTGCAGTTTCGCAACTGCCCACAAGCTATTTGACAACTCTTGGGGCGTCATGCCTTCTACTTTGCGTGGTATGCGCTCTGCGATGGCTGGCACGGCCGTCAGCACCTGCGGGGCAGTATCTTGAAGATTGGCAGCTGCCCACAAGCTGTTTGACAACTCTTGGGGTGTCATGCCTTCTACTTTGCGTGGTATGCGCTCCGCGATGGCTGGCACAGCTGTTAGCACCTGCGGCGCGGCATCTTGCAACTTCGCAGCTGCCCACAAACTGTTTGATAACTCTTGGGGCTTCATGCCTGCCACTTGCTTCAGCATGTGATGTGCAATGGACTTCACTGTGGAGCACAAGTCTGGCATTGCAACTCCCTCCCTAGCAAGTGTCAGCAAGCTGTTAGAAAGACCCTGTGGTTCCATGGCAGCTGCCTGCCTCTGCGTGTGCCTCATTACCTCCAACAACAGCTGCCTATCATATCCTTCCACCTTCCCATACAGCTCGTCATGAAGCTCACCAATGGCCCAAAGAACTTGTGCCGTCGCCCGTGCCGGGAGGCAGCCGTCCTTGAGCATGGCCCGCAGTCGGGTCATCAGTCGTGGCCAAACAGTACTAGCCACATCACTGGGGCTTAGCTGCCGCCGCTGGCTGAACCATGCCAATCGATTCAATGTTGCTGCCATGTGAAAATAGTTGAAAATCGACCCGTCCACTTCCTTATCCACCAGGCTGAGGATCGCTGCGGCAGGCTCGGCCTTCGCAAGCTTGGTTGTCAGTTTTCTGGCCTCACCCTCACCACCATCACCACCACCACCCCCACCACCACGCCCCCTGCCACCCCCGCCAATGCGCGGCCTTTGAAATCCGCCTCTCTGCTCCCGCACACCCCGCACCGTCCTGAGCCGCAGAGTTGCGCAAACGGGGTGCATCGCTGCAGCTCCACGCCGGCAGCTTGAGCCCCCCACGAAGAGCAACTGCTTGCCACCAGAGCTTAGAAGGCTTAGAAGAAGTGCGGGCATGGCCACAATCATGACTGCTCGCCATGTCCGCCTCCCTCCCAAGCTCGAAGCAAGCGTAAGCCCACTGTTTGGTGCCTTTGCCATCACACGGAGGCTGTAGCAACGTTGTAAAGAAAATGCTGCTGAGCCCATGCTCCGCAATCATGCAAACTTACAAAGGCCGACCACTAACCCTGTAGGCCCCCAGTTGCCGACTCCCAAGCCCGCAGACCATCCCTAACCCAAGGACTTCCCAAGAAGCAAACAGAAGACACCCTCAGGCAGCTGAGTGAAACCCTCAACCCCAGTGCTCCCCGAACCTAAACCCAAACCCACCTAAAGCCCTCAAACCTTAAACCTGACAGCCCCTATGACTCAACGTAAGCACCTACCCACCCCCCTCCAAAAAAAAGAATACAAGAAGAAGAAGAAGAAGAAGAAGAAGAAGAAGAAGAAGAAGAATAATAACAAGAAGAAGAAGAAGATCGAAGAAGAAACACCTTCAGAATAATCATACTAACAATAATAGTAATAAACTACACAAATTAAAAAATCCTTGAGTCGCCTTCAGCGTCTGCCTTCTCCAAGATCTCCAGCCATCCTTTCACGCGCGTTCCATCCTAGCCTTTAGGGTTGGGGGCTTTTTGCCTTGAGGGTTTAGGGCTGAGGGAGAAAGAGCGTTGAGTATTGTGTGACTCCTCCACCCTCGCAGGCACGACAGACACAGTGACTAACAAACCAGGGAGGGAGATGCCACTCAGGTAGGATATCTTACAAGGTCTTTCTATTGGTTAAGACTGTGGCTCAAGGACATAACGTGCTACGGGTGATAGAGAAGGTGTTTTGGGGGAAAACCTACCCGACCGCCCGAAACTCCCTACATCGCACACGCACACAAGGACTGGCACCCTGGTGTCAGGGGCAGGTTACGATTTGTCCTGGAAAGAGGGAGAGATGGATTTGACTATTTGGTGGATTCTGTCCTGGCTGGGGAAACGAAGTCTAGACATTGGGCTCGAGTGCGAGGATTTCGCAGAGAACAGCAGTAACCAAAGGAAGGTTGTCCTGTCCTTCTAGGGTTCTTAAGGGAGGAGGGGAGGGTTCATGTGGGGTAGGCGCCCAGGGAACCTTAGGGAAGCTTAGGAAGCCTAGGGGAGTAGTGGGGGTATTCGGGAACCTTGGGTTACATAGCCCCCCTTGAGCCCCCTCCCTTAAGAACCCTATGATGTCAGGTCATGAGCACCGAGATGACTTAGTACCTGTAGTTCCATACCCTTGAAGCCTAAAGACGCCTGAAGCTTGCAGCTCTGTCGTCCCACGAAGTTTCTTACTGCTAAGTCACCTAGACTTGAAGGGACGCCACACTGAGAAGCTGAGGTCCTGAAGGCCCTGAAAACCAACCGAGGATGGCCCTTAAAGCCCTCTGAACAAAATGCTAGATATAGTTCCTCTTAATCCCAATAAGGGACTATATAACATTTCCCAAGGGCCTACCAAGTAACCCAATGACAGCAGGTCGCACTCTCGGACCCCTTCGCACACGAAAGGCTCCAAATGCAAGGCAGGCTTGATCATCTCATTCAGCCTATCATTCCCAACTGCTTCGACACTCACCCCACCCCTAATGAGAATCGTCATCTCTCAAATCCAACTTCTCCACAACATGCCAAACCCGAAGCCTGCACAACAAAACTGCCTCAACCCCAATCCCACACGCTAAACCTTGTGAAGGCACAAGAAGAATGAAAGAAGTACCGCTGCATAACTCTTAATCAGGGCTCAAGGGTACCTTACAATTGGATGCTTCAGGCATCTTAGCGGCTACTTGAGGGTCCAGCTAAACGCTGAGACTTCCAAACCCTAAACTCTAAACCCTAAACCCAGATTCTCTGGAAGCAGCCCTGTAGGACGCACCGAGGGGCGCGAGTTCCAGGAGAGGCCGGCAGGCTTCTCGAGGATGCGCTTAGTGTGATCCAAGGTCCAGGACATGAGGTCCTGGTTGTAGGGTTAAGGGTTCAGGGTTCAGGGTTAGGGTTCAGGGTTTAGGGGTAAGGGTTTACATAGGGCTTCAAGGTTGAGGGCTATGGGTTTCGGGTTTATAGGGTTTATAGGCCCCCTGGAAAGCCATTTTAGGCATGGGGCGCAATGCTTGAGGTTTACAGCAGGCCATGAGGTCCTCTTAGGGCCTATGGTGAAACTGCGGTTTAGGGTAGGGTTTAGCCTCTGAGTCTATTTCACTTCGGACCCCAAACCCAACAGCAGGGCGTCTCAGGAGCTTAATTGAGCTTAGGATTCGAAGGTGGGAAGACTGAGGGCTCGCGGATGACACCAGCACATGCCACAAGTTTGGACTTAGAATCTGCCGGTTTGCAATTGAAAGCGTGAACAGGGGCTGACATTCAGCTTGAGTGACACACTGATCGGCGGCAATGCGCTCGTACCGCATGCCGCGGCTGCCAACAGTAAAGGTATCGAAGTCCTCGGCTTTGCGAGGAAAACATGGGAAATTCGAATCCTAAACCCTAAGCCCGAGTTTAACATTCCTACTGCGAGGCCCTCTTGAACCACCGGCACTCGACAAGCCCTACCTACAGGCATGGCCCCAGAAGCTTTGTTCTCGACATGCCTTGACTGGGGGCTTATGATGGGGATGTTACTTACCTAACATGGTGTACGGCGCGGTACATACATACATACATACATACATACATACATACATACATACATACATACATACATACATACATACATACATACATACATACATACATACATACATACATACATACATACATACATACATACATACATACATACACACATATATAGATATATAAATATATTAGATATGTAGACATATGCTTTAAAGAGGTAAAGGGTGGTATGTATATAATAATATATAGACATATGCTTCAAAAAGGTAAAACCTCAACTCCAGCCGCTTTGAGCTGCCAGGGCTCCGAAACCACCGGCTTCACCATGGACTCCGCGTAGGCAACCAGGAGCCCATGGGGATTCATGGGGTTGGTGGCATCCTCGGGTCAAGGGGTTTAGGGTTTAGGGTTTGCCTGTAGCTTCCTTTGCCTGCCGTTTTTTTGGGTGGCCGGAAAAAACCAGGAGATTTTCACAAAACCAGGTTATTTTTGGGTTACGTCAAATTACGGGCAAGATACGGGATTTTTATGGGCAAATTAAGGTTAAATTACGGGCAAGAATCCAGATAAAACAGAAATTCTAGAATTTCCAGGAAATTCAAAGCCAAGAAAAACCAGGTTTTTGTATTCCGACCCAAAAAAATCGTAGGGAAGAGGTTTAACAGGTAGGGGGTCTTTCTGAACTTATACCGCTACTAGAGCCAAGAATAGCCTACAGTAGCAATACAAAGGGTGCCACTTTTGGTTTAAAGGGGATTCTAAGGGAACCGAAACCCTAAAAACGGAAACAGAGCCTGCGCTAGGTCTTAGTTCAGGTTTGGGTTCACACTTATTTAGGTTCAGGGATCGGGCTGTATAGGGCGTGGGAGTCGGTATCTTTTTTTCTTTGAGTTGGTGGGCGTTCCGGGTTATGTGGATGCGCTGCGTTTCGGGTTCAAGCCTTGAGGGGAGAAGGGACATCTGGGTGACACTCCGGGAACGAAGCGCAGCACCCTTTACCAAAACAAAGCTCGAGTCGAAGACATGAATGCAATTGCTGCCACATGCTTCCACCAGAGCCATGTTGCAGCCAGGGCGCATACCTCAGCATGGTGGATGGTGTGACACAGCTTTAGACTTCAGCATTGCTGTTGCGATTTTGCAGGCTACTACGAAGGCTAAGCGCACTGGAGACAGTATCAATCCGCATGCATGAGGCATTGCAGCTTGCGGTCCCCCCGCAAAATCAGGAGGCTGCAGCGCATAACTTCAAGACGCAGCTTGTTAAGCGTTGTTAATCTCCGCGCCGTCTCCACGGTTATGAGTTCACCCTGTCACATTCGGCCGGCCCCACAGTCTTTGAACGCGTGACTGTGTGGGGACGGGCCACAAACCCTAGACCCTAAACCCAAAACCTCCCTCTGCACTTCTGGGGAGCGCAGCAGCCAGAAAGTGCAGTATGGGGCACGGCTCCACCCGCTGTATAGGTATCTAGGATTAGTTCTTTAGGGCCACGCTACGTGTGGTCAAGAAAATGCGCATAGAGATGAATAACTTCGTTCTTGCAATGGTTATCAAGATTAATTAAGACACCCGAGAGCAACAGCTCGGAACTCTCCTGACGACAAGCCGCTGGTAGAGAACAACCTTCGGACGGGAGTTGCTGCGAACAGCGTGGAGATTCCTTCGCCAGACAGCAGATCTCAAGCACCGAGTTAAGGGGTCCAAACCAACTCAGAATCGCGAAGTGATAATGATAGCCCGCCAATCCCACGGAGCCCATGATCCCGGTGTTGAACAACATCTGCCCTACGCTACATATAGGGCTCTTGCATGTTCAGGGGTGACGGAGGCGACTTAGGGTTTAGGGTTTAGGGCCCTTTGGAAAGCTCAAAGCCCACTCCACACCCCAAGCCTCGTCAAGGTTCGACAGCCCAGTGCCCCCAAGCAAGTTCTCAATAATGCGTGAAACCCTAAACCCTAAACCCTAAACCCTAAACCCTAAACCAATCCAGCCGTGGCTCATCTCCATAAACGCGGGCTCTGAAGCTCGTCCCGTCTCCCAACCAGCCTTCGAGCTCCACTTGTTTAGGGTTTAGGGTTTAGGGTTTAGGGTTTAGGGTTTAGGGGGTGTTCCTACGTGTTGGGGAGTCTTATCCCTAAGGATTCATGTACCTTTGTAGCATATACTTGGGCCCCAAAGCTACTTTTGGAACCCCTTATTTTCAGGCCCAAGAAAAAAAAAAAAAGGATTCTAGGCACATGGATCCTCAAAGGGGGCAGCCTTCGAGCTCGAAACCCTCCACTGGGCTGGTGCCGGCACATCAGCTCCGAAATCCTGCTGTTCACCCCCATCCCCCCCCCCGAATAATCCCCAATACAGTAAACTCCAGAAAGTTGGAACATGGTTTAAGGATGACTAGAGCTGGGATTCACTTTAGTATACCTTTTGGGGATATGGGGATAAGGATGTACCAACTTTTTGGGTGTTCCAACTTTTTGGAGTTTACTGTAGGCTGGTATAGGGTCTTCCCGGAGCCCAAGTCATTGGTCCAGACAACCGGTTTTAGGTTGGGGGCGTTCACGTTGAGGGTCCAAAGCTTGTGGCATCGTGCCTGAAAGGTAATGTCTGGCTCGAGGATGTAAGCCTCTCGCAGAACCTGCGCTTCAAGAAACTTCTGGATTTCTTTGCCACCCGCACGATTAAGGATTTCGGATTTAGTGGAGGCCTGGTGGAGGCATACGGTGCTACAGCAGCGAATAGAGGTTCTGGTGTGTGAAGGCGCGGTGAAGCTCTCAAAGTGTGTAGGGATGAAGTGCTTGAGGCTAAAATGCTAGCATGCTCCAATCCACATCGGTGACTCTCCATGCGGCTAGAGAACCGGAAGAAGCAAAAGACTTGGGACTTGGCCACTGAAAGGAACGCGAGGGTCTGCTCCCTCGAACCACCAGCACAAGCCAAGACACACAAGGGGGACGGGTACCCAAAAACCTAACACAGTTTGCGGAAACAACCCAAACATCCCAAACACCCAAAAAACCCGAAACACCCAATAAAAACCCTAAGCACCCCAAAAGCCCGAAAAAAGGTCCTTAAAAAACTGATTCGGTTCGCTCAGGGGGGTTGTGGCTGCCGCGAGACAGCTCCCAGACTCCCTTGTTCTCCTAAAAGTTAACCCTAAACCCTAAACCCTAAACCCTAAACCCCAAACCCTAAACCCTAAACCCTAAACCCCGCCTCCTCAGGCACATTGAGGCCAAAGATGCCGGAGTATGACTCATCCTGACGACAAAACGGGCTGTTGGCTAAGCTAGTAGCGGGAAGAAATACAGGGACAGCAACAACAAGTAGTACTCCTACGTTTTGCTCCTTCATGCTTTGCATGAAGGGGTGTGAGGGGAGTTCCGGGCCTTTGTTAGTCAAGAAGCTTTTATGATCTTTAGGGCGTTTTTTGCCACAGTTTCGGCGGCGCTTCAAGGCCTGAAGCCACGCCCGGATGATGAAGCCCTCACACATGCCCGAAAGATCAGGATTCAGATTCGACCTCTATCCGCCAAACCTGCGAAGAACACCCTAAACCGGCCCAAACCCTAAACCCTAAACCCCCCCTAAACCGCATGTGGCGATCCAGATGGGGCTGCCCCCCGGCCTTGCGGATGGGATGAAACGGAGTGCATTCTTGGCGCTCCTGTAGCACAAGGCTGGCTGGTTCTCAGTCAAAAGTGAGGGAATGAGGGCCCGAAAATAACCCCTTAAAAGGGTACAGATAAGGGTATATGTATATATATATACACACTTAAAGGGTATGATAGGGCCCTCATTTCCTCGTATCCTACGAAGAACCACAAAAAGAGTTCTGGGATCCAAGCTCGCAGTCTGATGCGTCGGGCTTCTTCTGCCAACATGGGGGGTTTCCGAGATTCGGGGTACCTTGTTGGGGTTCTTATTATGAGGGAATCCTACTGTTTGGGGGTCTATATCAGGGGTCCCTCATTTTCGTAAACCACCCCCATATATACATCTAAACAATAAACTTCTTCGAGCAAGGTCGCTGACCTGAATGAAATGCGCCGTTCTAGCGACCTACTCGTACACTGCCATGGGTTCTGCTACTCCCTAAGCTTTTTGCTGCGACACGGTAGTCACGCAGCTCCACCATCTTCTCTTCAGGATGAGGTTGAAATTTGGGCTGGTGCCGTTTGCCTATAAGCCCTCTACAACCCGAAGCTAACGAACCATGCACCCTACCTCCGCACTGAAGTCCTGGAGGATACCTGCCACTCGCTCAAGCTGCAGTAGCGCCAGATTTTGTGCCTGGCCGTAACAAGGTAGTGGGAGCCGTGCAGGAGGGAAAAGTAGTTGCCCCTAAACACCTAAACCCTAAACTTCTAAACCCCTAAACCCCTAAACCCCTAAACCCCTAAACCCCTAAACCCTAAACCCTAACCCCTAAAGAGGTTTAGGGGCCTGAAGGGGACTTCGACTTCAGACCATCAGGGGACGAGGCAGGCCTTAGGGCTTGAGGTACTGCACAGGAATTCTAGGATGGCCCTACGCACCAACTGAAAATGCTCCAAAATGCGCCCCCCCCGAAACCCAATATAAGGGAACACATTAAAACATCCCAGGGCTTGCCGAGAATTCATTGAAACTTTTTTGAAGCAGAAGTACGCCTTTCGAATCATGCCCTGTTTGGAGAGGCTGGATTTAACAAATGCCCAAAACAAGCACAAAGGTTGAGCTAGACACTAAATATTTTGAAGGAATACGAAGCACCAACCCAATGCCTCCTTGTTCTGGTAGTAGATCATGACCCGCGAATTCACGGGCGGTGGGTGCAGCCGCGTCTTGTGCCTCTCCTCCCGATAGACAGGCAGAGGGCAAAGACGTTGTAGGGCCGACTTCCCCAACATGTGCTGATGGGCCGAGGGGGTATGGAAGTCCGAATATGTACATATTATCTATATATATATATATGTATCGTACATACATACGTACATACATACATACAGATACACACACACACACACTTTTATATATATATATATACACCACACACACACACATGGACCAACCTCGACTGTGAAAGCTCCTGTACACACTAGATGTTCTGATGCGCCCCGTACCAGTTATAGGAGATATGACGGTTTAGAGCCCTACTTGCTAAGCCTCGCTAATACAAAACAAACACAAACATCGAAACTTTCCTGGGAGAAGATTTGGGTTTTTGGACTTTCAGGTTTTGGATGTTGGATTATTATTGCATTCTTGTTTTGGCTCTGTCCTTCAGTGGCACAAAAAGCAGGAACTAAAATAAGCGCAAAACTTCAAAAAAACGTAAAGAAGTGCAAAAAGGAAAACAGGACAACCTCAGTCAATTGCCTCAAGACCCCTCCAACCCACCCCTACCCCCTAAACTTAGGGGGTTGGGGTGGGTTTGAGGGGTCTTGAGACCCCAAACCCTGAACCCTGAACCCTGAACCCTTAACCCCAGAACCCTAAACCCCGAGCCCTCCTCACTGATCTGGAGGAAGGGTACGAAGCCAGAAAGGTGATTCCGCTTCGCGGACCTCTGGTGACTCTGGTGCTGCGCAACATGGAGGGTTCGAGTTTGGAGCCTTGGGGGCCTGGGGCTCGGGGTCTAGGGTTGGGGGATTTAGGGTTTAGGGATTAGGGCTTAGCATAGGGTTTGAGGGGATTTGGGGGGCTTTCAGGAAAGGACCAATGACTTGAAAACACCAGGGCCTTTCGGCGCAAGGAAAGTCGTGTAAAGTTGGGGTGCCTGTAGTGTTTTAAAGGTCCTGAAGGTAGTATGAGGGCCATACGAGGCGTGTTTGCAGGGGAACCTTTATAGGGGTACAACCGACCCTCAATCCATTTGATGTAGCCTTGCCTATGGCAACAACAACGCTATACCTGAAGATTGGGCAAACACACGCGCGGGTGAACCTTGAAGACTTCCAGACTCAAAAAGCCACAAAGTCACGAAGTTCCCTATAAGCCCTAAACCCAACCCATCTGGGGTTTCCAATTAGGGGTACCAAAATTGGGGTCCTCATTATGCTAGGATGGCTCTTGAGAAAGATTTGCATCGAATGTGGCATCTTCTTTGCAAACCTGCAGTCCTGCAAGTCTGAGAGGAGCCCTGCGACAATGAATGCAGAAGCTCCTACGACAAGGGCTCACGCCAGTGCAACGAAACCCCGCAGGGGCCAGCGCAAGAGCCGTGCAAAGCGGCACCCGCCGGCCACGGCCGACACAAAGGAATCAGCTAGCAGCTGAGGCGCGTCGGTGACATGAGAACTGCGTCATTCTTGCTGGCCCACCTTGAGATCCTGGCCACCATGGCCCATGCCAGCACCTGGTGAGCTGTTGCCGCTACGAAACGGAAGGAGCGGCTCAGCGCTTCTTGGTTCAGCTCCTTCCGAAATTGGGCTGCCAAGTTGTCGTCTCCAAGCTCTGAGGCTGCCCACAAAGACATCTGCAACGCTACCGGTGCCATGGCACACATTGTGTGGTATGCGTTCTGCAATGGCCGGCACAGCTGCCAGCACCTCCGGCGCAGCACTGTCCACACGCTGTTTGACAACTCGTAGGGCTTCATGGCCATCTACATCGTGCGGAGCGTGCTCTGCAATGACCGGCGCCGCTCATTCCGCAGCATGCGCTCTGCGATGGCTGGCACAGCTGTCAGCACCTCGGGTGACCCTGGTGCGGCATCTTGTAGCTTCCAAGCTGCCCAGAGACTTTGGTTCAAATCCAAAGGGTTAAAGTCCTGCACATTGGAAGGTATGCGTTCTGCAATGGCCGGCACAGCTGTCAGCACCTCTGGCGCGGCGTCTTGCAACTTTGCAGCTGCCCATAAACAGTTTGACAAGGCCTGAGGAATCATGCCATCTAGCACGAGCGGTATGCGCTCTGCAATGGCCGACACAGCTGCCAGCACCTCTGGCGCTGCATCTTGCAAACTTGCAGCTGCCCAAAAGCTGTTTGACAACTCTTGGGGCTTCATGCCATCTACCTCGTGTGGTATGCGCTTTGCAATGGCCGGCACAGATGTCAGCACCTCTGGCGCAGCGTCTTGCAAATTTGCAGCTGCCCACAAGCAGTTTGACAAGGCCTGAGGAATCATGCCACCTACCTGGTGCGGTATGTGCACAGCCATGGACTTCACGGTGGAACGTACATCTGGCATTGCATTTCCCTCCCTGGCGAGAGTGAGCAAGCAGTTTGCGTGCCCCTGTGGATCAATGGCAGCCGCCTCCCTCTTTATGTGCCTCATGAACTCCTGCAGCAGCTGCTTGTCATATCCTCTGACCTTCCCACACAGCTCACTGTGAAGTTCGCCAATGGCCCAAAACACATTTGTCATTTCTCGTGCAGGGAGCATGCTATCCTTGAGCATGACACGCAGTCGAGTCATAAGTCTTGGCCAAACGGGGCTAGCCACGTCACGTTTGCTGAGTTGCCGCCGCTGGCTACACCTGGCCAACCGATTGAACGTTACTGACATGTGAAAGTGATTGAAGATCGCGCCGTCCACCTCCTTTCCCACCAGGACGAGGACAGCTCCAGCGGACTTGGTCCCGGAGAGCTTTCTTGTCAGTGCTCTTGCTGGCTCCTCGGCAGCACCCCTGCCACCCCCGCCAAGGCGCGGCTTGGGGCTTCCACCTCTCCGCTTCCGCAGCCCTTGCAGCACCCTGAGCCGCAGAGTTGTGCAAAAGGGGCGCGTCGCTGCAGCTCCACACAGGCGGCTTGAACCCACGAAGAGCGACTGCCTGTCGCCACCATGGCTTAGAAGAAGGATGAGCATGACTACCATCACGACTGCTCGCCATGCCGGCCCCCTGCCCACTCCTGAGTCAAGCGTGACCTGGGGAGTCAACATGTTGAGCCCAAGCTTCACAAGCATCCGAGGTTTGCCCCTGCTGACAAATGTCTTCGAGCTCGTGATGGCTCACACGAAAACCCATGCTACCTCGGAATCCTCCAGGACGAACATGCCCAACCTCGAGGAGAATCTCCAGCACACCGACTTGCAAGTAATAGTTACGAAACCGACTTCTGACCCAATGTATTCACAAATCTGGCGGTCCACCGGCCCACCGTGAACAGGCCCAGCATATTCTGGGAGCTATATAGGTCCAAAATGCGGCACGTACGAAGAACCCCAGTATACACTCCTTTTTCCTAAACCCTTAGAACCCTGCGGCCGAGCGTCTTTCCTTTGACATTCAGTCCCTTGCCCACAGCTGTCTGATTCAGCATCCTAAGGCAACTTGTGCAGAGCGTGAGGTTTCGGGTTTAGGGCTTAGAGTTTAGGATTCTGGGAAACTTTGCTTGCCTCCTGCCGAGCTGACACTGAGAGTCCACGTCACAGGGCTTGGGGGTCCAGGGTTTGAGTTTTGAGTTTAGGTCCCTAAACCCTGAACCCTACAAATCCTAAACTACTAAACCCTATAAACCCTAAACCATTCCTCGAAGATTGAAGAATGCAGAATTCGGTTTACTGGGGGCTAGGCCTTCAGGGCCTTCAGGGTCTTCAGGCGCTCAAGGTTTTTGGGTTTAGGGTTTAGGGTTTCGGGTTTAGGGTTTCGGGCGTGCCTGGCTCTAAGGAATCCAGTCCCGAGTCCTTTTGGGACCCTTGTTTAGTAGAAAAAAAGGGCCTCCTCTTTGCTTTATTTAAGGAGAACTATATAAGGGAACCTACACCCCAAAATAAGGGAATGAGGGCCTAAGCTGGGTCCTAGAAGACGGTCACTTGCAGGTATCGAGCTCAAGCGCCTTTTGGGAGCGATTGCCCAAGGGCCGAGGCACTTGGCCAGCGCATCTCGGCTCGTTGGTCTGTAGACGGCAAACCACGCAGATTGGCCCTGGTAGGGCATGCTTGGGGTGGAGTAGGCCGAATTTAGGGGTCGGAAGACCGTCTCATAGGATTCCCTTATGGTCCCTTTATAAGTCTAACTACTACAAGAATTTAACCCCCAAACCCCCAATTCTAATTTATCAAGGCCCCCCCCCCCCAATTTTTTCTGCCCCATCCATGTTGTGCTTTGCACGAACAGATGGCAAGGAAGGCGCGTGGCTCAGGCTCATGCTTGCAAGGCTTGGTGTTCAGGCTTCGTGATCTCATGATGGGTATTCAGGGTTTCGGGTTTAGGGCTTACATTGAAGCTCAGGCGTCGGAAAAAGTAGTTTTTGGGGTCCGGGGAGCACGAATTTGCAAGATTTGGGGGCCAAGTTCAGGGTCTGAGGTTGGGATGTTCCCCCTTATACTAGCAGTCCTTCATAGGGATTGCAGTAGGGTGTACTATATAAGGGGCAAACAGCCCAAGTCTTAGTGATGAATGAACAAGTGTGGGGAAGGTTTAGGCAAAAACATCATAGCATGGGACTTGAGGGCTTCAGAGGCTGCAGTCGGGTTCCCCCAACTGTTCTCAGAATGCCTGTGCAAAGTTTTCGGGACTGCGAAAGAGAGAGAGAGAGAGAGAGAAACAAAATAGAGAGAGAGAGGGAGACTTGAACCCGAAACCCCAAATTTTGGGATGTTCCCCCCCTATGCTAGCAGTCCTCAGTAGGATTCTAGCACCCCGTACCTCTAATCCCCAGTCAGGACTGTTAGTATAAGAGGGCCAAAAACCCCACAAAAACCCAAAAAAAAAAACAAACCCTAAACCCTAAACCCTAAACCCTAAACCCTAAACCCTAAACCCTAAACCCTAAACCCTAAACCCTAAACCCTAAACCCTAAACCCTAAACCCTAAACCCTAAACCCTAAACCCAAAGCCAACGAAGCCTCCGGGCTCTCGACGTCCACACCCCGAGGCCCATTCGGGCCCCCGATTCCGTAGAAGTCTGCCAGGGCCTTGCGCGGATCCGACGCCTCAGCTCCCGGGAGCTGTCTTGGGTTCAGGGTTTAGGGTTTAGGGTTTAGGGTTTAGGGTTTAGGGTTTAGGGTTTAGGGTTTAGGTTTTAGGGTTTAGGGGGCCTTTGGGAGTTTAAGATTTTGGGGTTTTCTGCTATTTTTGTTTCTAAGAACCCAAAGCAATGAAGGAACTTAATCTCGGTGTTGCCCTGAAAAGAAAGACTACTTTTTGTTTTGTAATTTTGTGCAGCGAACAGTAATTCTAGGGTTTTGGGGTTTAGGGTTTGGGTGTTGGTTGGAGTTTGGGGTTTCGGGTTTTAGGGTTTGGGGAGTGCCCTTTTGTGAGGTCAAGCATGGGGAACCTAAGGAAAGGGAACCAGGCTGCCACGTGAAGCTCCAGAAAAGAAAATCCATCGATGGGGCGGTTTAGGGTAGGTGACCAAGGATTTTCTTAGAGGGTTTAGGGTTTAGGGTTTAGGGTAGAGGCTCGTAGGGTTAAGGGCGGTGTATGTACCCCGCCACCCCCCTCCCTCAAGCGCCTTGCAACTTCGGGAACAACTGCCAAAAATGTTTCCAAAACCGCAAGATGAAAAACAACTTCTGAAACCCTATCCTTCTTTAACGCCCCGAAAAACTGCAAGCCACTCTTTTACACCCTGGACAACCCTAAAGCCCAAAACCTTGCAAGGAGGGGCCCCCTTACTGTACGAACTATAGTTCCGGGACTTATAACCGAAGTTGGGGATGCTGATAACCTAAGTTTCGGGTCCTTAGAACTAGACTTATATAACTAGGGGTGCCCTATAACTAAAGCCCTAAACCTTTAGGGGTTTAGGGTTTAGGGTTTAGGGAAAACTATCCTACATTTGGAGCGTCTGGAGGCGTAGTTCTCCTTCTGCTTGATGTCCAAGGAACCTCATCTCTTTGGTTTGTCTTCAGAGCATCCGGATTTTCAAACACACAGAGCCGCACATTTAGGGTTTAGGGCTTAGGGTTTTTAGGGTTGAGGGTTTTGGTTTTAGGGTTTTAGGGTTCAGACAAGTTTGAGGTTTCGACTCTCACTCTCGCGCGCGCACGGCAGGCAAGGATTCGGTAGGTCGGTGACCCACTTACAAGAAACTACGAACAAACTGCAACACTGCGAACTCTAATTTTGAGGCTTAGAGGGTCCAGGGTTGACGAAGGGTATGTGAAAAAGAGAAACAAAGCAAAAAGCTCTTGGTGCCGACAACCCTTCTCCTTTAAGAAATGCGACCCCTGATATAGAGGCTACAGCACAACATGCATCCTGTAGATTTACTGCAGCATGTCCAAGAATTGTGTAGAACCACACATCGTGAACATGAACATAGAAAAGGGAGCTGAGAAGAAGACAGAACTGTTTCTGAGGTGTAAGTGGTGGGTTTCCAGAAAATATGACACAGGCATTTGTGCCAACTGGTAAGGATCCTGTACAGCCCAAACAAGACGGTCAAAAAAACAAACCGACGACATGGCAGGCCACGACCACTGGTTGATTGGGCTTAGGGATTAGGGCTTAGGGTTTTTAGGGTTTAGGGTTTAGGGTTGTTTTCTTCTGGGGCCCCCAGGTTATTTCGTTACCACAAAGTGACTGCAGGCAGCGCATTCACACTGGACCCCTCCAACTGCCGAGCCTACGAAAGGCTGAGGGCATGAGAACCACGACTCTTCATGCCGAGAGTTCTCATGCGGCTTTCAGTTCAATGACCGTGAACTTTCATAAAGATGTCGCCGTAGCGAAATGTGCGCGCAGAAGAGTGGCAGGTGCGAAGCCTAGTCTTTTTTGTCTACTCCAGTCTCCTCATGCGGCTATTGCTATTTCACACAGACCACAAGTAGTTGGCAATAGACTTTGATGAGGAACCGATGGCTTCGCCAACGCTACTGGTTGGTATCCCCCAATAATCAAGAACTCAATACATACACTGGCAAAAATGCATAAGAAACCCGAACTGCAACGACCAAGAAAACCATAAGAAGGACCCTACCTCACCAGACTCCCCTAAAGAACCTTGAAACCAAGTACTGGAACTTACACAAACAAACCTGAAACAGAATTCCTAAGGAGGCTATATGGTATTTCCCAGAGTAGGGGTATTTTTTTTAAGCCCCAAATAGAATAGAACCCCCCTAAAGGGTACCCCTTTTTTTCGGAAACCCACCACTACGAACCAGCCCCTAAACCCTAAACCCTAAACCCTAAACCCTAAACCCTAAACCCTAAACCCTATTCTTCGGAAACCCACCTAAGAACCAGCCCCTAAACCCTAAACCCCTAAACCCCTAAACCCCTAAACCCTAAACCCTAAACCCTAAACCCTAAACCCTAAACCCTATTCTTCGGAAACCCACCCATACTTCAAATCGCCCCAGGAGGCCCACGACGCGCTCGAAGTCGTCCCGGTCCAAGCTGAGGAGTTGAACTTGGGTGGCCTCAGACTCAGGGTTTAGGGTTTAGGGTTTAGGGTTTAGGGTTTAGGGTTTAGGGTTTAGGGTTTAGGGTTTTGGGTTTTGGGTTTAGGGTTAGGGTAGCCTATAGGGAATTCAAAGGGAGCTTAGGGTTTAAGTAGGGCTTAGGTTGACCCTTTCTTGGCTGAAAAAGGGTTCAACGTAACCCCAAAAGAAGACTCAACTCCGGGAGGGGGCTCCCCCAAGACAGCAAGAGTGCGCTGAGGTGTACTCGGTGTGCGCCACAAGACTGTCTTTTGGGGGTTAGGCAGGGCGCGAGTCCAAAGTCTTAAGCGTAATAGCGGGAGGAAGAATAAGGCAACCAGATGAAGAGACACCGACCCTGAAAATACTTAAACCCTAACCCTGAAAAATGCCCAAGCCCAAACCCCAAAAACCCCCAAGCCCTAACCTTACAGCTGCAGAATATCACCCCAAACAACTCGCTCTACATAGCATAAACTAGATACAAACCCTAAACCCTCAGAGAATATCCCCTGATCTCAATTGCCCAGTCGCCGCCGTAACGGTGGCTGCCCTGGGCGTACGGTTGATGAAGGCAAGCTCACCTTAGGCAGGGAGCCCACTACCCCTCTTACTAGGTTTAGGGTTTAGGGTTTAGGGTTTAGGGTGGCTCTCAAACACCCTCTGAAAGATATTCCTAAGTATGGTCCTTAGGACGAGAGCCCACCACTCTCTTAGTTGAGGTTTAGAGGGCGTTTAGGGATTTTAGAGCTTATAGGGTTTAGGGTTTATAGGGTCCAGGGTACCCTCTTACCAGGATGGCTTTTTCACACCCTCGGAAAAATCTTCCTAAGTATGGTCCTAAGGCCGAGAGCCCACTGCCCTCGTGGTTGAGGTCTATATATATATATATACATATATATAGGGTTCAGGGTTTTAGGGTTGTAGGGTTTAGGGTTTTAGGTCTTTGGGATTTTCAGGGGATTTGGGGCAGGTCTAGGGTTTTCAGGGGTTTCTTGGGTGTTAAGGCTTTCAGGGCCTGCAGCCCTAAATCCTGCCACTAAGCCTTTTGTGGAGCTCTCATTTGAGTAGGATAGTTATAAGTTTAGTGGTTTAGGGTCTAGGGTCTTAGGGTTTAGGGGAGGCAATGAAAGGATCCCAATTTGAGTCACAATGATGACAATGTCGGCTGTTCAGAAGACAGCTTGAGGGCCTATTATAGGCTATCCATCAACCTCCAAGCTCCATGCAGAGGCCTGCTCGTATCATTACGGCCTTGCAGCCTCTAGGACGTAAAAATCCTCAGCAGCATCCGTGGCTACCACTTGCCCACATGGTAACCATGGTCATGGCAGGGCGACTCGTGGCCTCTGAGCTGTATGTTTCTGTATAAGCCCCCAGAAGGAAAGATTTTGCCTTGGCCACAGACACTGCGTTCTGAGCCCAATGTAAGGCCCAGCTGCTGCAGGGCCTACATAGCAGCAAGTGCTCAAGTGTCCGACACATGGACCCTAAACCCTACACCCCAAATCCTAAACCCTAAACCCTAAACCCTAAACCCTAAACAAAAGCCATGCTGAGCACCTGCATATGCTCAAGCCCTTCAACTCCAAAGCCCTTACCTGGAACCGCCCTTTACCTACAGTTCTATGGGCTAGAACCTACGAATTAATAGGGTAGCTACTACGAAACTGCAGGTAAATAGGGCCCCAGGTAAACTCGCGAACTTTTTTGTTTTCTCTCTGTCTCTCTGCCATGCCATCCAAAGGGTGCCCCGGCTGCTATGACCTCTAGCATAGGGTTTCAATCTGACCCACAGCTGATGGGCTTTGGCTCCGTAAACCCCACTCCCTGCAGAAAGGCGGTGTGCGTGAAGAAGCTTCCGGCGAATGAAAGGGGCTTGCAAAAGAAAGCCAAACACCCCGAAGAGGGAATCAGGGCCTGCTCTGGGTCCTAGTTCTTCCGAGATGCCAAAGCGTTCGCCCTGGGAGTAGGTGCGGACGACGTGCTCATCGAAGCCCTCCGAACCCACCTGGGCAACGGTGTCGCATTCCCATGGTTTAGAGCGGATGGTGGCGCCAGCTGTAGAAAGATTGGCTATAAACAAGCAGAGTTAGAGAGAACAATAACATGAGAGCGACAGAAACACATAGGGAGAGTTCAAGAATACGCAAGTGCTGTTCGACAACTGCAAAAGAAGCATGAATCAAGGAGGGGGGGGTGGCCAGTCTACATTGCATCTATGACACATGGGTATTGATTGAGCAAACTATCCGGGTCGGAGGGTCACCTCTTTTGCAGGCACCGTTGGCACTAAATCAGGCACCGTTGGCACCAAATCGGGCTTGCAAACTAAATACAGATGGCCACCATTGTCGTCAACTTTGTGAGGTGCGGTAGCATTGGCTGCACTTCTGGCAGCCTTTATAACAGCCGTCTTTGGCCCATGAACCGGGCAGACGCATTTAACCAAAAACAACTCATTGAAAACACAAAGGTTCACCATGAGAGTTGGCGCTAAGTTGAGAAGACGTCACCAGCCTCACCACCTTGCTCCTTGCTCCTTGCAGCCTCCTTGGCTCGTGCCCTCTCGAGCAACTCGCGGCACGTCTGTTCCACGACTTTCCCGATCCACGTCGTCATCACGTTTGTCACGTGAAGGTCAACGGCATGGAAACCCACGGTGTCCTAAGTAGCCCAGTAACCTGTTCTTGGAAGGGTACTTTCGTTCTTCTTAATTTGCTTTGTATACTTTTCTTTCTGCTGAGGAGTGGTTACTTTAAAATGAAGGGCCAACAACAGGCACCGCTCCACCAAGAGTCCTGGATCAAGGACTTCACTTTCATCTCCTGGGTAGCCCAGGAACCATATTATAACAAGGGCACCCTTTTTTTGGGTTGGGTTACTTTGTAAGGGAACCCAGAACCAAAACAAGGGTAAAGGATACCCCTTAAACCCTAAACCCTAAACCCTAAACCCTAAACCCTAAACCCTAAACCCTGAACCCTACACCCTAACCCCTAAACCCTAACCCCTAAACCCTAAACCCTAAACCCTAAACCCCAAACCCTACCAAGTCTCATCCTCCATCTTCCAGGCCTCCGCTTTCTCGGAGTTCACCTTGCTCAGGGCTTCGATGACCCGGTCGATGCCATCTGCGCCTAGGGAGGGCCCTCAAAACCCTCCGAAAAAGCAACAATAGACTTCAGCCCTAAACCCTAAACCCTAAACCCTAAACCCTAAACCCGAAACCCTAAACCCTAAACCCTAAACCCTAAACCCCAATCATAGGGAAAATCTCCCAAAAAGCCCTGCCTAGGAGCCACAGGCGATCTGCTGTTGGAGATGGTTGGCTGCTGCCCTTGGCATGATGAACTGAACCTCGATTTGGATTGTGGAGGCCACATACTGCTCGTACACGGTCCTTGGCAGCCCAGTAAAAATACTCCAATAAGGGCACCCATTTTTTTTGGCTTGGCTACTTTGTAAAGGAACCTTGAACCAAAAAAAGGGCAAAGGGTAAACCGCTGGGCTACTAAGAGTCCATATACGAGTGAGGTACATGGGTCTGTCAAAGGTATCCAAGATGGCAACCATCTTGCCAATGCGCTTGAGGTTGCTCTCGAAAACATCTTCAAGATTGTCACTGCCAGCCGTGGTTCCTTCCACTATGATTCTGTGCTGATTGTTCACGAAGAAGCACACGAACAAATAGCAGGGTTGCGCATCCAGGGTGTCTCGGAAGGTCTGCAGCGCATCCTGCACCTGCCGTACCTAGATTCAGGAGTAACCTAGGAATAAAGAAGGGCGCCCTTTTTGGGTTTAAGGGGACCCCAACCCGAAAAAAAGGACATAAGGGCCTACTCCGGGTCCAAGTTACAGTGTATTTCCAGGTCCAGCTCATGAAATGCGTCTGCTCCCGACGATGTTCGCGTGGCATCCAATCCACAAGCGCGCATCCGGCCCGGCCGTCACGGGGGCAGATGATGTCTTCCCCAATGGGCTCGCCAGAGAGCCAAAAGGCTGTCTTTAAATCCTAGAATTTGCTTTCAAAGCTTCCATAAAATGATTCCTATTCCTAAGCCTCTTAAACCCAATAAATAAAGGAAAACACAAGATATCCCAAGGGCCTGGCTAGAATCGATGAAAGTTGGGTCATCCTTCTTGCTGCGCCCCTGGGCCAGCTGCGCAAACTCGGGCGACAGGAGATATGCGATGCCAACCCCGGCTCTTTGGCTCTGCAGGGCACGCATCTCGCAAATGCTTTGGGAAGCATCCTGAAACCCAAGGCCAAGCAACTTCTTGGTGTAGCTGGCCAAGGAGGTCGGCTCTTCATCCCATAAGGCATCATACACGTCCTCTAGAAGGCGTGCAACTTTCGCGGCCTTTCTTACCCGGATGCACACAATCAGGAGGCGCGCAGCAACTGCAACGGCTGTCACACAAACCGCCCCCAACGGCAAGTGCCACCATATGCAGTTGTTGTCCACCAAAGCCAAGGGCAAGTCACATGCCACACACTTGTCACTGCTGGTCACGGAGAAATGGAATGTCGGACAGTCGACGCAGGTGCCCCGGTCATCTGAGGGCACCGCACCTTCTGGACAACCTTGGCAAAAGCTATGAGCTGGGGCATATTGGCCAACCCCACAGCGTTCGCACATCAGTTGGTTCCTACCTGGCCCTCTTCCAGGTTTGCAGGGTGGCGTCAGTGCGTGAAACATCTGGTCATGCGTTTTGAGCGAAGAGGTATTCCATACACCGATAGGGCGGTCAAAGGCCTTGGCATTGTAGAACATGGCCTGCATGGTGGTGACTGCAGAGGTGTTCCATGGTCCAATCGGCTGGTCAAAGACACTTGCACCGTCAAACATGTGGTCCATTCTGTTCACTGCCGCTGTGTTCCATGAACCGAGGGGTTGGTTGAAAGCCACGGCAGCTTCAAACATGTGAGTCATCTTCTTCACTGCTGCTGTGTTCCATGAACCGATTGGCTGGTCAAACGACTTGGCATGTGAGAACATATACGCCATGTCAGTCACTGCAGATGTATTCCATGAACCAAGTGGCTGGTTAAAGGCATGGGCACCAGAGAACATGTATGCCATGTCAGACACTGAGGAAGTGTTCCACGAACCAATCGGTTGGTCGAAGTTGCTTGCTTTGTCGAACATGAACCTCATGTTGGTGACTGCAGAAGTGTTCCAGAAACCGATCGGCTGGTTGAAGGCATAGGCGCTTAAGAACATGTATGACATGTCCGTCACTGCACGAGTATTCCATGAACCGATCGGATGGTCAAAGGCCTCGGCACTACGAAACATGAGTGCCATTGTGGTCACTGCAGCTGTGTTCCAGGTACCGATGGGCTGGTTGAAGGCCTGAGCATAGGCGAACATCCTCCGCATATCGGTTACTGCCGAGGTGTTCCATGAACCAATCGGCTGGTTAAAGGCTTTGGCATCCTCAAACATGGACCTCATGCTGGTCACGGCAGAGGTGTTCCATGAGCCAATCGGTTGATTGAAGGCACTGGCTCGAGAGAACATGCCCCGCATGTCGGTGACTGCAGAGGTGTCCCACGCTCCAATGCTTTCATTGAACCAGGAGAGTCCTGAGAACAGCTCTCGCATGCTGGTCACTCCTGACACGTCCCAGACCTCAATGCTCCCATATGTAGAGATCAACCTGCTTCTCCTTGCTTCCGATCTCCAACCAATCACCGCAGCCCTGAGCTCCCTTCGGTTTGGGAAGGCTGCCGGTGCCGTTGCAGTTCCATGGCAGGCTAACAGCACCAGCAAAGGCAGCAACTGCAGCGGTCCCCCTGGCATCAGCATGGCGCGCTTGCCCCTCGAAGACTGTAGCTCAAAGGAAGGACGACAGATTGGGATACGGGTCTTGTCAGTCTGGTACACGACGCTACTGTCGCAAGGATCGCTGGCTGAGGCTCTTGACAAACATGGAGGTTTCCGAGACTAGGGGGTACCTTCTTGGGGTCCTTATTAGAAGGAAATCATTCTATTTAGGGGGGTCTATATTCGGGGTCCCCTAGCTTCCTAAACCCTAAACCCGAAACCCCAAACCCCCTCATCAGTTGAGATATTGCAAGTTTCTCAAGATGACACGGCCGCCGCAGTTGTCGGATGATCGAAATGGGATCGTCGCTGGTGCACTGCATGATTCTGAGTGGTATTGGGGGGTTGAGGGTCTAGGGTTTAGGGTTTGGGTTAGGGTTTAGGGCTCAGTGAACCGATCAGAAAAAACACCAGGATGTCTTGCTTTTACATACCTTAGTCTCCGCAATTGTCAGACAATGAAGTTGTTGGACAGTGCCCTTCTCCTAAGCCAGAGAAGGATGCGAACGGCCGATCATAGCGGAATATACAAAACAACTCAGTCAACAGCGCGAACTCGGGTTCAGACTGGGACGCGCCATGGCTTAGAGGTTAGGGTTTGGGGTTTAGGGTTGAAAGTATACTGGGCCGTGACTGTTGAAGGTTCAGGGCTTCGGGCGGCAGATGCATGAGGCCGCTGTGTCGCACAAGCAGCGGATGTGGCCCCAACATGCGAACCACTCCAAAAAAACAAACACATTCTTCCTTACCAGGGTAATATAGAGATTAAAAATATTTTTTGGGGGGGGAGAAAGGGGAAGGTTCTTAAGAGCAAATGGTAGGAATCTGGGGGCCCCTTACATACCGTGGCACACAAGGGCCCATACTTCAGAATCCTTTGAAGGAGGTAGGGACCACATTAAGAGACCATGCAAGCCACCCTTCGAAACAGTCCATGTACCTATATAGCATATGCTTGGGCCTTAAAGGGTTCCGTGGTAGCTTACAGTAGCTTCAGGGCCCAGGTATATGCTACAAAAGTACAGGGACCCTTAGGGCTACCAGTAAGACTCCCCCAACACGTAGGAACACAAAGCCCCCTAAACCCTAAACCCCCTAAACCCCCTAAACCCCAAACCCCTTAACCCGAAACCCTAAACCCTAAACCCAAAGGAAGAACACCGCCCCAGCAACCAAGCCAAGGGGCTTTGGCCACCCGTATGCTCGCCTCGCACTGACCCCGGAGGATCATGAAGAACCTTGGGTTTAGGGTTTAGGGTTCAGGGTTCAGGGTTTAGGGTTTAGGGTTTTTTTGCCACCTGTCTAGCCATGTAGGGTTTAGGGTTTAGGGTTCAGGGTTTAGGGCGACTCAGGACTTCTTTGCATTCTCACAACTTGGACCGTGACTAGACATGGCTGGGTTGATAATGATGAATGGAGAGGTTCCCTTTTCTCGAGAGACGTCAAGAGTTCTCCCCTCAAAGCACAGCGCAGATTATCCTGACTGGCTCGTCCATGGCTTCGAAGCTTGCCACGACTGCACCAGGCACCCGGAGCCACAACTGAACAAACAAGCGAAAGCCATCGTGCTGATCTAGCGGTAGCGTCTTGCTTAATGCCATCTTCCATCTGCAATGCCCCACCCCCCCCCCGGGCGACCCCTGCGCGCGCGAATTCGGCCCACCAACATCCTGAGCTACTGGATGCTTTCTGCGCCTCTGCATGTTCTGCACTCTATTTGCCCTTGAAACCTTGAGGCTCAGAAAACAGCAACATCTACAAGAGTGGTTCTTTGAGCACTCCGAATAACGCTGCATCGCCGAAGCAGCCTGTAGTTTTTAGGGTTTGGGAAACCCTAAACCCTAAACCCTAAACCCTGAAACCCTAAAACCCTAAACCCTAAACCCTAACCACGAAACCCTAAACTTACTGCTGGCCGAGTTGCTCAGAACCCACATCGCCTTGCCTGACAATGACCTCTCCTCGCTTGAAGGTCCGCTTCCTGTGCTTCTGGGTGGTGGTGGTGGTGGTGGTTTAGGGCTAGGTTTTAGGTTTTAGGGTTTAGGTTTCAGGTTTTAGGGTTTAGGGTTGAGGGTTTAGGGGGCGGGGGGGGGGGGCACCATGATCCTATAAGCTCGTGGCAAGCACTCATGCCTTGAGCAAGGCTGACATCGAGTGGATTGATGCATCATTCAGAGACCCAGACGGCAAACCCCCACATGGCTGTTTGCACATTCTAGCATCATGCCGCTTGGACAGGGGGGCTTATCGTACCAGCAACCTGTTCAATTCTGTATGTCTTCCTTTCGGCGCAGGGCGATGCCTTGCTGGCAAGGTGGAAACCTTGCACGCGCAGAGGACCCTGTTTAGCCTCAGGAGGTATAGGGGAGGTGTCTCAAACTACACTCCGAAAACCTGAACTCTCGTCTCGTCCCCTTCGTAGCTGCAGAACCAGGTTCTCCATGATGTCCGCGATTGTTGCGATGAGCTCGTCATCAAACCTGCGGGTTCCAGTGCGGGACTGGGGCAACCTAAAACGGTTAAGGGCTGAGGGTTTAGGGTTTGGAGTTTCAGGTTTATCTGATACTTGGCTAGTGCGCACTCATCCGCAGGTGTCGCAGCACCTCTGGACCACTACTCTGCTGCCTGCATGTCCATGGACCAGAACCCAGAAACGGAAGCTCAGAGTTAATCCGAGAGCTACCCGGCGATTCCCTGAATCTCTAAAACCAGGCATGAGCTCACCCCCGAAAAAAGTACCCTGAACCTCCAAGCAGGAATGCACCCTTAAGCTTGCTAAGTGACACCTCCTCTGCCTGAACCGAAAAGTTGACACCATGATAGATTTTTTTCCAAATGAGGCAGCAGAAACCCTAAACCTCACCTTCAGCCCCCCCGACCAAAACACAGCCTTCACACTTTTCGTAGAGCATACAAGCATGAACCGTAGAAGGGGTTACAGAGAGGTGTAGTATAAGCTTAGGGTACCAACATGTGAAAAAAAGAGATGGTTTAGGGTTTACGGTTTCACCCAGCTTGTGCTGGCAGGGGCGCGTCTCGAACATCGGCACGCCCGTGCGCAAGTACTTCTCGCGCACGCTGCGCTCGTGCATTGCCGAGCGGGTGACAATGTTGTAGTACCTTGCTTTCGAGGATTCAGGGTCCATATATATACATACATACATACATACATACATACGTACATACATACATACATACATATATATATATATATATATATAGTGTATGTTAAATATTCACTATATATATATATATATAGAAATGTAGTATGACCAGGTAAAACAGAGTCTCTGGCAGTGGGCGTTCCGATGTTGAGCATGACCACTACAGTTTCGGGGGGGTCGCGCCATCGATCCTCGCAATGTTGCAAATGAAGTCTCCCAAACCCATCGAAACCCCCTAACCCCTAACCCTAAACCCTAAATCCTAAACCCTCAATCCTAAATCCTTAACCCCAAACCCCCGTGAGTGCATCCGAGCCGCACGTCGCGCTTAAGCTTTCCAACGATTGTGGTCTGTATCGCCCGGACTGTCATGCGCCTCCGGGCCCAGTGTTCTGCAGAGGAACATTTAAGGATGACTTACGTGGAGCTTGAATATGACAAGAACCAGCTTTTCTCAAATCCACACAGATCTCCCCAAGATTTGCCGAAGAAGGTGCTGTCGAAAGCCTCAAAGAAAGCTCAAAATGCCCCAAACGTGCACACCGTGGAGATAGACTTGTGCCAATCTGGCCTGAGATGTCCAATGTCTCATTAAAAGCAGGGTTTAGGGTTTAGGGTTTAGGGTTTAGGGAAAAGGGTTTAAAATTTCGGGCTTGGGCCAGCAGCACCTCCCATTCAGCATGCTGCAGCTACAGGCTTTCCGAGGCTTTCGGAACAGATCGGAACAAGGCCTTCGGAAACCGAAGAGCATGGTGTGTTCGCCGAAAAAGGTGCCCTCCGACATGTTTACCTGGCAGAAAGGCTTTAAGACCTGGGGTCTCGGGTGCAGGCTGCAGGAAATGTTTGAGGGCTTAGGCTTACGGGCCTACTGAGGAACCCCAAACCCACCTTCTTGGATCATCACAACCCACCAGGAACAAATGGCTTCGACTTCCTAAGGTCTAAACAATCAACTTGAAGATCGATGCATTGCATCTGCACTGAGTTCACGCGCTGTGCCCCGAAAAGCGCCAAAGCTGTAGCTTCACAAAGTTCAGGATGCAGTTTGTGGTTTGGAGTTTAGAGTTCAGTCTCTTTTTGTCGCCCGCCTAGCTGACGCTTTAGGGTTTGGGGTTTAGGGTAGGGTGATACCTTCGCAATGCTGAACGATCAGGTTCAGAGCACTTTCCACATCAGAACTTGGGTTTAGGGTTTAGGGTTTAGGGTTTAGGGTTTAGGGTTTAGGGTTTAGGGTTTAGCGCCCTGAAACTTTATCTTCGCGACCCTCAGCTCTACACTCCCTACAGCAAACTCCAAGAAAGTTGGAACATCCTTATCCCCACACACCAAAGGGTATGACTAAAGGGAATCCCAGCTCTAATTATCCTTAAACCATGTTCCAACTTTCTGGAGTTTACTGCAAAACCTGAGCCCAAGAAGCCCTGCAATCCACCTAGCGGGTCGGAGAGCTTATAGCGACAGTAGAGGTTGCACTGTTTTTTAGGTGTACTACTATTTGCTTATAAGAAACCCCCTAGAAATGGAAGACATAAATCCCTGTATTGCCCTTATAAGGAAGAACATTTTGCATTATTGGGGAGCCTCTTAAGGAAACAGTAGCCCTGAACGCTAAACCCTAAACCCCAAACCCCAAACCCCAAACCCTAAACCCTACAAATAATCTCCAGAGGCATCACCTCCGACTTGGAGGACCGGCGGAGCAGCGCACAGGAGTCCTGAGAGTCTGCTGGGTAAAGCTCATCCCTCTCGGGCTTAGGGTCTCAGGCTTAGGGTTTAAGGTTTAGGGTTAGGGTTTAGGGTTTAGTTTTTTAGGGTTCA